ATTTGCATGCGTCCTCGTAAATGTTCACAAAAACTTAAATAAATGCAATTACAATTATAGCAACAAGATTCCAAAATGAATTATAAATACCTCCGACCTGCCTGGTAGGCCGTGAAAAATTCCTAGCAATGCTACTTGTCTAGCACCAGTTTTCCTTTTAATATCAGCTGCCAAATACTGCGACAAACAAAGTTTTAGAACATGAACCAAATAAATATTTCGCACATAAGTTCACCATACTTACTTACAATGCACGACATTCTATATACTAACCAAAAACGCTGAAAAAATTCGATAAAAAATGCAGCACCTACCTGCTTCCAGCCTGCACGTAACGAAAACAAACCACCGCCTCATTGCCAGCTTTTTGAATTACATGACGTCACACGTTTAGTTCCGGCCTCAACGTCGGAACTGTTGTAGATGGCGCAAAAATCATTACCCCGTTTTGACCGCCAAGTTTCCCTACCCTGGCCTGGTCTGCCGGCCGGCGTGCAAGCAAGGCTTTATTTTGCCGAGTGAAGGTCGCGGTGCCGCCGCGGTGGGGGAAGGTGTGATGGTGGGGGGCAGGGGAGTGTCAGGGAGGGACAGTCGTATTGCGCAACTGACGTGGACGTAACGTGGCGTAATTCATCTCTGTGGCCGATGACCCCACGATTCATTCATGGACGCGTAATATTAGAAGTGGGGCAGCAATATTGACTTTCTCGCGCGTAGTCCGTTTATTAGTTACAGAAGTTAAATAATTCGGCATCGAAAACGGCAATTTTTCTGCACACACACAAAAACAACAACAACAACAACAACAACAACAACATAATGCAGTTTTCTAATTCTGTATAATTGGAAATTCTTATTTCTACATGTAGTAAGTTACTGTAACACATTGTGAAGTCAGAATCCACGTTTTGTGAGTCCTTCACACCGAAAAATTGGTTTACGGCTAAACGCGTGTCTACCTGACCATCCGTCCGTCTGTGCCACAGTCCATCCGTCTCATTGGCCGGCCGTGTGTCCGTCTGCGAACAACGGTAGCGGACGAACCGCAAGAAACGTTTTCTCCAAAACTGATATTCCCCGATCGGTTTGGCTGATGTAGCGACCCATTGAATTTCAAACGAATATTTTATTTTGGGGGGAATACTTTACATAAAACCTCAAGAACATTTTCAATTTTTTCTCAAAAATAGTTCCAATTTTTTAAATTTTTTTATTGGTTACTGCAAATACGCTTATAAAATTGTGCAGGTCTTATTTCCGTTGAATTCTCTGAATTTTGGAAATTGCAAAAGTTTATAATTGTTTGGCGTTTTTCTGCATCTACAATATAGAAGAAACATTCTTCCTACGAATGAAATTTGTTCTTCAAAATTATAAATTTAAATGAGGTTATGTACATTTTTTCAACATGTGTGTAGTTTTCGCATGAAGTAAAGTTTAACTTTAATACTTTAACTCAAATAAATTAACTTTAAAAACACGATTTTCTCAAAAACATGACTATTCTTTTATCTTTAACATTTTTGTGTAAATAGTTCTAAATTGCACTGAATAATACGCCATCGAATCCATTTTGATTTTTCAAATATTACTTTTTTTTTTAAAATATCTCTCACGTCCTTAATATTTACATAACGCACATTTTATGCATTGTTGCATTGGCGAGTATAAATTGGCGCGTGGACAATCTTTGTAGAGCTTTTCTTTCACTGCTCCTCTGGAAAAGGAATCGCGAAGGTTAAGATTTGGAGATCGTGGTGGACTGACACTTAACAATTCCAAATTATGTGGTTTGATTGACGATTGATTTATTTGATTGACGAGTGCTTCCGGTTGCATCAAACCACTGAAGTCATGTAACGTCCCGTAGGTGTAATGCGCGTTATTTTCCTCGGGAGGTTGCAGTGATCTTTTCCCGCTGGATGACGAGATCCGACGTTGACCTACCGTCGGCTAGGGGTTTTTCCCAAACCAGGTATCTCTCACTAGCGGGGCACCGCCCTAGCCGGAGTCAAGCTCTAAGCTCCCGACCGGTCTCCCGGCATGCGTGGTATTACTCGCGCAACTTTTCTTGAACGATGACCTTGATCCCCCTCCCTTTTGCAATAAACAGTTGAAGGCAAAAGCTCGCAGCGGGCACTGTTGACAACCTTCCAAGCATTAAAACTATGTTGGCGCGAAACAGAAGCTAGTCAAAGCCAGTTGCTTTCATAGTGCAGAACCCCTGTTCAGGTTTATTGTCAATATCGAAAGAAATGGCTGAGTCAGGTCCAGGTCCTTCAAGGGAGTCACCTAAAACTCCCGAAAAAGTTAAGCACAAGATGCAGTTTTGAGTTTCATTTCACAGACGTTGGCATTACTTAAAATACTCTAGTGGCCGACTTTGTAACTAATACCCCCACTCCACCCGAAATCGTCAATCCATCGTTCAAGAAAAGTTGCCCGAGTAATAATGCAGTAAATTTGAGTGTTACTGTGTGTGTGTAAGGAGTAAGATAGGACAAGGAATGGGAGGGAAAGATCGCTCGCGGACCGTGGCCCGTTTGTTAGGGTTCTGCTCCGGCATTCACCTTGTGTAGATCGGAAGAAAAAAAAAAGCACGGAAAACTACCGATCAGAGCAACCGGCCGCCTCCAAATAGCGAATGAACTCGACCTAGCTGGCAGACTAGTCTCGAAAATCCTGCCACCGCCGGGGTTCGAACCTAGACCCTCCCGCTCAGAGGCAGTGCAATATTAGTTGATGCCCTGAGCCACCTCTTGCGACATAATACGGACCCCAATTAGTCTGAAAAAATGCGAGCCCAAAGCCTGCAAACACATGTTTAGAACGTTTAGTGGTATGTTCTGGGGCATCGTTGAGCTGGAAATACACATCCATTAGAACAATCCTCTGTCAATAGTTAAATAAAGGGATACACGGAACGGACTAACAGTATATGTCTGCATGTTTCATGCCGAGAAAGTAAGACATTAAATATTTGTATTCCAGATATTGAAATCCATCCTTCTATTTACTTATCATGAAGAATCATTATTGAGTGAGGGTTATATACATGAATGATGATGTGAGTTCATGAATGATGTGAGGGTCATATTTGAGTAATCTTTCAGAGATTATGGGTCCCGAAACATCATACCAAGCCTCGTGTGAAAGAAGTCTCATCTAGAAAATTGATGCCTCTACTAACAGTTCTGAACAATGCACAGGCATCACTTAGTAAGGAAGCGGTTGCTTTTACTTTCTTATTTTATATTTACTAAATTATTTTTACTATTATTTTATATTTATTATATTTTACTTTTACCTCGCGCTCCCTCTGCTGGTAGTTGGAAGCGCTGATGATGGAATATAAATCTTCCGAAATGTTGGTAAACAACCATGTGTTAAAAAATATTTGCTACTACTGACCAAGCCTCGTAAACCTAACTTCCGTATAATATTTATGGTCGTTAAGGTCGGTTAAGATTTCTGTGCATTTTTGGAATGTTGTCATCAGTGCTCAATATTTTTTCTCTGGCTCATTGCGATCTTTTGCCTTCAACTGTTTCTTGGTCCTTTTGGCGCGCAAGTGGCGCGGTTGTTATTGTATCGTGGGTTGCTATTGGAACGCGGTAGATTTAACACGCACAGATTTAACGCGGAAAATACGACGTAAAAGTCATTGTTAAGACGCAATCTAGATTATATATCTCCATTTGGTTGTGGTTTTGTGCATACATCAACAGAACGTTTTAGATAAATAATGTGGACTGCATGAAGTCCAATTTCGTAAGAACTTATTTGTGTGACACATGATCTTATCAGATCATTTTTCACCGGATGTTGACATCCACTTTCATGTTTCTTGAGCCCAAATTCATACTCTAGCGAAGGTAGGATATTGGTGTTGTTTACTAGTCTTGTAAGTTAAATATCTATTCTCAGTTCTATTATATCATGGCTTCGAAGTAAATAGAGATGTGATGATGTGCCTCTTGAAAGTAGATAATCCTTTGAAATTTTTTGTGATACAATCATTGTTTTGAGTGAAATGCTGGAGTAACGTATTGCACTTATTACTGAAGCCATTAAGTCCCTTTAATACTCAGAGGGGTTTAAAATTATCTATGACAATTTCGTCTTTGTGTGATTATGTCTGAAGGGTTGTTTAATTGATTCTCAATGTGTGGTCTATGAAATTTGTTTTGTTTGTAATCTTAATGTATGAAATACAACAAATATTTGATGAATATGAAAATAACTCAAAAAGATACGATATATTAGTAATGCGATTTCTTAATTATGTGATGTTAATGAAATTATATATGTATGTTTATATATTATGTATTAAGTGTTAGATGTTGAAAATGGCAAAACAATGTATTGTGCTAGCATTAGACTTATAATTTTGGCCTTGTAGCTGTGGAAACAAATAGTTGAATTTTAGCACGGATGTTTCCATAATGTAAGCGAGTTCTAATTGTAATAATTAGGTAAGGTAAGGTAATGTGTCTAATCAAATTAGATATAAAACCATGTCACAAACTGAAAACAAGGGTGTTGGAAAATCTCTATCCTGTAGTGTGCATTCCATTATATTCTCTACTCAAACTATTAATTGCATATTTCTTTGTGTTGTACTCGAGAAATAATTTGGAGAGGTGATTTCATGGTGCTAATCATGGATGACAACGCAAAATTCATTATTTATCTGTATGTTTACTCTTCATATATACTTCTTTTAATAATATCTTTGCCATCCAACAAATCTTTACTTAGTTCTACTTTTTATCAAGAAGAATTTGTGAGAAACACCAATTTCTTATTCCTAAATGCAAGTATTCAACACAGAAGTTAGTATATTTGTGGAAACTAGATTAAGTTTGATCAAAACGGGATCATTTTAAATTGAAACTGTGTGTGACAAATAAAAGGTTAGTGTATTTGCCAAAACCTAAATATTATCAAAATCTGATAATTTTAGATTTGAGACTGTGTGTGATAAATGAGAGGAAGGCAAAGATATATATGTTTAGTTGAACAAGGGAAACTTGACAAAAAGAAAACGTATGATGAGTGAGGAAGTGTCGTTTACCCAGAAGCTGAACTGTGATAATTGTTACAGGCATGTGCAAGGTATTGGAATCATATTAATGTATTAATGCATTAATAACTTTATTATATTATGTATTCTTTTGAGTAATAAATACCGATATTTGTCATACAAAAATAAGTTGATAAACTTGCATTTAAATTGACAGACTCAAAATAACAAATTTTGAATCAAGCCTGTACTCAATAAACGTCTAGGAAAATTAGTGAAACATTTGAATATCCCATCCCCACTAATTAAATAGCCATATCAATCACAACTTTTAACACTCGCTTCTAATTCATCTACTTCTAGTCAATGTAGTTTCAAATTCTATGGAATCAGTTAACTAGAAAAGAGGTTTTACTTGGCATTAACAAATGTGTCAGGAGTTTAAACATCTATTAGCAATATTTTATGAAATAATAAACATGTATTTTTTGTTGATTTCTGTAGTAAGCTGCTATTGATACTGGCTCCAGATTACCATGGTTTCTATGTTGTGTGATTAAATTATCAATACCTGTATTTGATAAAAAGTATCGTGCCCCTTGATGAAGTCTGTTATGACAAAAGCCATTGATTCATAAATAAAGAGGCAAAGCAATGTTTGTAATCACAAACTAAATGAAGAGTAGATTGCAAGAATCATGTGGGTGGCTTTTCCTTATTATTCATGTTATGTTTCACAATAACATTTCATGTTATGCTCACAATAACATTTTTTTACATGGTAATTCTTTTGAAAGAATAGAATTTGGCAAAACTAGACATTAGGCTTGAATTGTAGTATTTCTGTTTTTCGGAAGTTTATCTTTCCCCACCCATTATATCAAAAGATTTACAGTTTTGTTTTATAATTTTTTCCCCCCTCTACTTGATAGATTTATGTAAGCACTATTGTAACATTGAAATAATCTTTCCTGGATAAAGACGGAGAAGGAAAAATAATTGCTACCTGTTTGAGTATCTTGTTAATAACCGGTTCTTCAGTAATTGTTGATATTCTGAAAATAAACTGATAATCCCAATTTGAGATAATAAGTGTGAAATATATGTGGACAGTAGCTGGTAGAGGAGGTTCGTTTTATCATTCTCTTAATATTATTTACTTTCATTTACTTATTTTACATTAAAACACATTTAAAAACTATGTATAATGTTTTATGGGAAGAAGTAACATCTGTGCACATTTTTTTGAGCTCTGGATTTCAAAACTAAATCACACACATATTAAGATGAATAATAAATCCAAGCAGGAGCATCAGTTCTCAGAGGACCTACTGCAGAAGGTCCAAATAGGGGCCTTAAGGGGGCAGATACACCTTAAAAGCGTAAAAAATTTGAGTTTTCAAAACAATTTTTTTCTTCTATGCATTAATTATTTAGAAATATTTTGGTGAAAAAAATATTTCAATATCTACAATAGTGTTTGAGTTATCGTTTAAAAGATGCGTCGCTGCATCATGCATCTATTACAGTAGCAAAACTCATGCATCAAACATCATCGCTTGTTTTCCAGAATAATTTTTATGATCTGTTTCTCTTATAACTCAAAAACTAATTATGTTAAAGTTATGAAATTTTTATGATATATGTAACCAAGTCTTATCTACAACACCATGCTAAATCATACAGTACAATAGATATTGTCATAAAAAATATATAACTGAAAAAAAAATTAATAATCAATATATTCATTTTGATTCAAATTAAAAATAATATTTATTCAGAGATGTAAATAAAAGAGCGTGATTTTGTACCTGTGAGTATGTGCGACAAATCAAAAGAAGAAATTGGTAAAAATCTTCAACATATTTTGAGTTATCAGGAAAATACTGTCAGTGCCTTAAAAAGTGGTTGAAGTTTGATTTTTCAAAAAAAAATAAAAAAATAAAAAAAGAAGTTAAAAGCAAATTTTTCTTTGAAGAAGAAAATATTTGTGTGTCAGTTCATTTTCAGTGTGGAGTATGATTTTAATGGAGAAAAAAGAGGAAAAGTATAAAAAATATAACTGCTGTAAGCTGTCTCTACCCCCTTAATTGCAATTGCCAAACTAATCTAATCTTGCCCCCCTTAATTGCTAAACTAATCTTAATTGCAATTGCCAACTTAAATCTAATTTACGTCTGTCCGTGGAACTAACAACCTGAAACACACAAAACTACATTTTGAACATTTTTAATGATCTGTAATTTGAGAACTGATATTTCAAATCTTTACTTATTAAATATTGCATCCATTATTAAAAATCATAAATATAGTTATTACTTTTCATTGAAATTTTGTTTTTATTTGCCCTTTATAATTGCTTCATCTCAGAAAATTGTTGGCTTGTTTCCTCTTTTGGACAGTTCAAAAAAAGGGACATCTCAATCTTAGGTGGGAAAAAAAGACACTTCTTAGTTTAATTTTGTAATGATTTAAATTGCTAGGAAATTTTCTACTTTTGTTGTAACTACGCCCCAAATTTTGAATTCAGGTGATATAAACTTACATTTTCAGAACAATATTAAACTTCGAACTGACAATATCTCGAAACAAAATATTTTGAATTGTTGCTCTTTGGAACTGTTTGGTTTCTTGAATCTTAGTTTTAATAATTAATTTTTAGTTGTAAAATTATTATAATCAATGAAATGGCAAGCTAAAATGAACTATACAATTACATTAGGCAATATTTTATTTGTTTTTGGTTCTGAAATTCAGTTTGGCATGGAGTCCAAAATTGCCTAACCCAACAGTGTGGTGTTTTCAACATAAATGAGGCTCATAGTGTTATTTCTATATCGAAATTCAAGGCTTCTGAATTTCTATTTGTGCTGAAATCTTATCTCTCTTGTAGAGAGGACTGCTTCTGAAGTCAGTGTGATGGAGTACTCTGAGACCATCTTGAAGGAGGAGCCAGATCTGGATGTTGAGGTATGAACAAACCAAGGAAATGCATTTTGTTCAGTTCAGTATATTTTTAAGTTTTAAGCCAAGGGAGGACTAAAAATTTTCATTTAACAAATCAATTGTGTAGCTGAATTCAATATTTAAGAAATTGCAGTTGAGCAAAGGTTTTATTTGAGCCTGTTTGCAATACTTGTATGTTTCATTTAAACATTCTCACTTTCCTTCATATTGAAGTAATAGATAGAATAACGTCCAACACTGAAAAAGAAGACATTATTCAAATGTTATATTAATTCCTTGTACCATTTATTGCTTTAATAAAATAATTTCTTTATATTAAATTCAGCTACTAATTTGTTTTGCTTAGTGGTAATTTTTATCCCTCTCTTGAGTTATAACTTAAAAATATACTGAACTACCTAAAATGCAATGTTTAATTTTTAAATAAAAAATCTATAGACGTTGTTACTCTGTTATTGAAGTTCTTTTTCTCTTCTTAGAATAAGGGTGGTAGGATACTAACGTTTTCCAAGGGAAAAACTTTGTTTCATGGTTTAGTATTTTTATACTTTTTTCTTGTATATTTTTATCATTATCATAGTCATCATTAGGACCCATAGGTTCATGGCCTAAAAATGTTAAAAATATGTAAGCCTTTATGACCTAAAAACTATGAAAATATGACCACAAATATGACTTCAAAAAATTTTGGTTGCATTTTCCAAACCGTCATAATCTTTCCACTGTTATATGTTTTTAAGCATTTTATTGAAAATATCTTTGGCACACCAAGAAGACAATTTTACCATCTGAAGTTATTTATAGAAGTGGTTGAGTTGGACAAAAATCCTGATGAAAATAAACTATCACTTCCTTCACATCTTGTACTTAATATGATTTTTCCCTCCACCCTTCTGTATAGCTTACCCTCCCAATTCACATACATATATTTATAGTAAAGACAGACAACAATTAGAAATAACAATTGTAAGAAATTAGATATCATTTAGATGTGAAACATTTCTTTGAGACAACTGCAAGTAAGTATGTGAAAGTGAAATCGGAAAGATAATAATATGACAAATAGTACAAAAATATGTATCTGAAAATATGACCATATTATGATAAATTTAGGGAAAATGACTAAAGGGTTTAAAAAAGCCAAAATATGACTGTATAAAACATGTGAAAATTGCATAATTTTAGTAATTGTAGATAAAATCATGTTTTAAGTTACATTTTTCATGGAAATAACATAAAGAAAAAAATTCAATCGTTATTAACATTCAGATGCTAGTAACAGTCATCATTACAATGATTTTTATGCCCGAAAATATCTTGAAATGTGCTTTTAAAAATATGTATTTATTACCCCAACATTGTAAAATAAACAATGAAAATTAAAAATATTGCATTTCCTCTATTAACCTCTCTTGATAAAATTCAAGAGAATCGTGCTTGGAATGAAAAGATATACTTTTGTGCAAACATATTATAACCCAGCTTACTTCATGGGAGAAATATTTGAAGATAATTTGCACTCTAAAGAAGTACATTGTAGGTATTGTTTAATTTTTTCTTTATGCTTTAAAACACACATATATAGAATATCCTACTTTTTACAAGAATTTGATAATCCATAGAAAGAAGAAAAAACCCTCAAATGGTGACGTGCTTTTTCTGATCAATGAATGCTCTGAAATATATAGATTCTATTGAAACATGAAACTTTTACAGATAAGCCTCTATTTTAACGAAGTGAGCAAAATATGCTCCTGTAATTACACAAACATCCACCAACAAGAAAAATCACCCAAATGTGCACTAACATATTAATCTACATAGCATGTAATTCTAACCAAATGTCAAGAAATTTCACTTAGCTATGCCCAGAAGTATCGAGCAAAAATATGCAAAATCATAGAAATACACTCCCTAGTCATCATCATCCCACCATAAATCCACAATTGAAGATATTAGATGTCAGTGAAATACAAAATTCACTTTCACACAAATCCAGCTTTGTAAGTAGTAGATCTAGTGGTGGTCAGTGCCCCGTACAATCCTTTGTACAAATTATGGGCTAATCCCAATAACGAGATGATAGATACTTCCCAGTCTTTCGATTGACTATGGAATTTGGATAATTTTGTAGGTGTAAGTATGTTGTGGAACAAATCCCTGAGCCTTTGGCTAGTATTGTTAAAACCTGCATTTTTACCCCCACATCCAGCTGATCTCAAAATCCAAGTTCTTGTCATCGTCTAGGTTTCTAAGAAGTTTCTCTGCCTCTGTTATAATGTTCTAATTGCATTGCACAGCAACATCTCTAAATGGAGACTAATTTTTTTATTCCAAATCCTGTGTAACAATATCTGGTTTAGATGCTGCTGCCTTATAATCAATGTGGTTTAATTGATTATAAAGCAGTTGTTAAATACAGACCAACAGACAATACAGATTTTGATGAGTGTTTGTATCATATGAACTTTAAGGTCAATAGAGATCTATCAGAGGAGGTAACTACGAACACTATTCTATCGTTTCAAGTATTCAGACTTTGGTGGAATTGAGTGGTATGGTTTCTAAACGTTCATGACAAACACTGCATTTATCATCCTGGGAAATTTTGTGAACAGCTTTATCATAATGACGTATTCTCAATACCTGATCTTGGACAGCTATTACAACTGCAACTGCTTCTGCTTCTGGTTTCATTCTTCCCTTTTAAAGCACATAAATGATCAGTTGATCTTGATTTGTATTGTGTTCATTCTTTTTACTTCTTTCCTATGTATTGATATATGTCTCCATGATTTCTTTCAATTTTTTGTCTCCCCCATTTCATGTCAAGTAACAATTGCAGTTCAATGTCTGTATTATTTTGCGTGCATGATGCAAGATGCACTATTTCACAATGCATCTTGCTTCACTTACAGCGTATTTATTTCTATTCTTTCAGTCAAATTTAACAGCCAGCCAAGTATGTCACTTGGATGTCTGACCATGTACTTTCCTGTTCCAAGTATATCATTGCGCCAGGAAGCTTCAATTTGTCTGAATTCTCCCTCTTCTTTCTTGTGTGACCCATGAACTCTATGTATATCAGCGTCGGAGTGAGCAATGATATATTGTAAGCTGTTCTGTAGTTTTTCAATCCATTGTCTGAATTTCTTGCCCAGTTTACCAGTCTGAAATGGTTCTTGGGTACATGCTAATCTATCTCGCTTTTATTCCTGCAATTCTAAGCATACTGTAGGACTAGTTATTTTTCTGTAATTCTCCCTGCAAATTCTCTCCTTAATGTGTCATTTAAAATGTCACAATCATCAAGGTTCAAATTTTTGTAGGTTTTGCGGATCTTTGTGTATCTTGAATCAACATTAATGTTGTCTGATGTTACCATTTTGCCTCACTTTTAAGTTGACTTTGGCACTTTTTTTTATGTGCAAATTTTATGCAGATGTTCCTATGGAATTAATTTACCACAATTAACATTTTAGAGAATATTATTTTATTTCTAGTACATATTATTGTTGTAATTATAACTTCTGTGAGGAACTACTACTAAATAACCTTACTTTTGTGCAGGTGAAACCTTTTGAGTTGCTGTATCTCAACGGTGCTAAGGAATTGGAAGAGGTAAGCAGGTTTCTGTTGTTGTTTTTTTTTTCAGAAATTTAAAAGGCAATTTTTTATTTTTGGTGTGTGTGTAGTTTTTAAGTTATTACCCTGTGTAAATGAGTGACTTTTCTTTGCTCACTTCATTCTTTTTCATTTATTTTCTCTCTGCTGAAAGTTTGTTTTAATATTAGGTTTAAGAGGTATAAATTTGTGGCATTCTAAGCCAAATTCTACCTTTTGTGTGTGTGTGTGTGTGTGTGTGTGGGGGGGGGGGGTTGTAATCTTCAATATGTCCTAATGCAGATGAAATTTCCTATGATTTCCTGACAAAGAAATTGAGATTTTGTTCTAATATTACCAATTCTTTGGTTTTCAGGATCCTCTTGCACTAGATCCATTAGCTGGGTGTGACGGGGGTAAGAAACCCCTGATAAACCACTTGGAACAGCTTGTAAAGGAAGAAACAGCCGACACAAGTGAGTCATGCTATCCTGAAGTAATATACTGGTCTGAAGCGCATGACACATCTCTTAATGGGCTGAAGGGTCTGGGGGTATAACAGCGTATCGAGCTATTGTAGCTACGTTTGCAGGTTCAAATCCAATCAAAGCCATGGATTTTTAAGGACCAAAAAATCCTTCGTATGGAGGGGAAGTAAAACTGGCTGTCCTATGTTGTAGATTTGCTACATGTCAAAGATCCTCAACTATAAAAGAAGCCTCTGAACTAAATTCAAATTCACCAGTTTCGTCACCGAGTAATACCTATTTTATCCGCTAGGTGGTGAAAGCAGCGAAACGAAACTTGCATGATCAGACAGTAAAGCAGGCATGTTGACCCAAGTCTTGCCATGTAAAATAAGGCATTAACTGACAAACAATCATTCAAATCTCAGGTAACCAGTTAATACTATCAAAAACAATATAAACTGTAATAACATTGTAAAATAAAACGAGCAAAAGTTGATCGGAAGCTGCTTCAGACTCAGCAATTTTCTCCTACTCCTGGGATTGAAAGTGCTATGCAGTGTTTCTTTACTGTAGGGGACTAGATGGAGGGGTAGTGTTAAACAATGAAATCAGGCCCCTTTGCATTGCTACATGTTAGTTCCTCAATTGTTGAAAGTAGAAAATAGGGAGTCGGCCAAAAAGATACCTCCTAGGAAAACCAACCAAAAAACAAATAATAATGCAAATAGAGATTGTATTGTATGGTTCATTAACAAAGAACTCTCAAGAAAACACATAAAATAAAATCTATATTAAATGTTCACTATTGGTTCGTTGAAAAAAATGTTATTTTGGAGGAGAGATTGCTTATTAGGGGGAATCTTGTTTTTCCTTTTTCCTATTTTTATAATTTTATTATGATTTTTTTATAAAAAATGGTTTGTGTATGCAAATTTGGAGCTATAGAAAATTCTTTTTTTTTTTTAAGTGTTCCGTTTTTGCCCCAAATTACATGAGAATTACCTACTTGTACTGTGAAAAAATTGTACATGACATTAATCAAAGATCTAATATTGAAAAATAATTTTCAATAAGAAGAAAGAAAGAAAGACAGAAAGGGAGTGCCAAAAAATTAAACTTCTGAAATTTATAAAAATTTAAGCGTTTTAATGAATGTAGAATTAATCCCATTTTTATAAGTACATATCGCTCTCTCCTAGCAAAAGTTATTAGTACTGTTCCAAAGATAATTAAGATTCCAATTCTGTGATGTTAAATAATTTATCTTTTCCATTAGATTCTTAATTAATGTCAAGTACTTTGTGTTTACATATTAATAATTTTTGCACTAATACTTTGAAAGAAAACTGGGCAATTTTAAAAACGGTCATTTCTCAAAAATCACAGTTAATTTTTACTTTAAACTTTTTAATGGAGTTAAATATAATATGATATAAACACTTTTCAGATGTAACATTTTGATTTTTCAAAAATTAAACAAGTATAGTTTTTTTTCATAACCCTCTCATTAATATTTACATTTCTGGCATTTTTATAATTCCGTACATTTGTGAATAAAGTGCTTTAAATGATTTTTTATTTAAGTTTCTTGAAATCTCAAATGTCGAGTGGTTATGTAATACTATTTGTACTACAATTTCTCTCTGAAGCAACATATCTCAATCATTATTTTTGTGTAAAACTCACTTTTGTAGAACTTTGGTATGGAAATTATTTAGTTTGAAGCAAAAGATTTTTGATTCAAAACTTTAAATGGAAATATATGTCTGGCATTGAATTCATTGTATAAGGTATGCACTGTTTTCACGAACATGTCGGATGAATTTTTTAACCTTACAATATTCCGCATAAGCAGTAAGCGAGAAAGTAAAATAATGAAAAGTTAATATATAATACAATATTGTTAGCATTGGCAAACAAATTGAAACAGATTGAAAAATATGTAATAATAATTATAATTATTATTATTATTATTATTATTATTATTATTATTATTATTATTATGGTATTGTAATATTCTACGAATATGTAAAAGTATTAGTTTATATTAACACAAACGAATTACAGCCGTCATTATCGCCTTCTGTTATCAGTCAGTCATTACAACAGTGGGTTACTAGTAACAATGGCCGCTAATTTGTATGGGATACATATTTTGCCAATTATCATTGTTGATACTACAAGAAAACGAAAATGGATAGAAAAATATAATAATTAGAAATATTATTTTTATATTCATCAAAATTTCTCAGTTTTTACATGTGTTATTCACCACCTACATCATACCTAAATATGGACAGACATGTTTTATTGTATATATTTTGCTATCAAGGACCATTAAACGTGAATTCTGATTACACAACTTGTTAGAGGAAATCATTTACCACATCTAGGAACAAAATTGATACATTATCGGTATTGCCTTAAAACAAGATTTTCTGTCGAAAAATCACCATTTTTTGCTGCAGCATTACTATAGTTTCTCTACACTACGTATGTAGAATGAGAGTAGTTTAATCTGCATTTTTTTAATTTAAATTGACCATTAGTTTTTTTGGATCTTTTTGAATACTTCTTTTGATATTGGCGTATTCATGTTTTAATTTTTATTTCAGAAAGACTCTCATGTTAAATGAAATCAATCATGGATACAACCTTATTCCTGAATCTTTTCATAATCACTTACGTTGTTCACTCAAAAGATGTAGATATTCAAATAACATTGTATAATGAAAGAGGAGCAATTTTTAAAAATATTTTTCCATTTAATGTTTTCTGGAAGAAAAAACAACAGCAACAACAACTTGTATGATCACCTACAATTATTTGCTTTTCTCCTCTCACTCTCATTTCTTCACTGTTGAAGAAACTCTTGATTTGATGTATTAGATTTATTTTTGCCATTACAACAGTTGACACTGTATGTAAGGAATGGGGGGGTTATACTCTGCATAAATTGTCTCCAGCTCCAAAATATCATTCACAATTGATAGTTAAATGATGATTAAAAGTACCAACAATGCGAGGGTAGCAACATTTGAAAACTAGACATTTTTCTCTCCTGGGTTCTAGAAAATCTATTTGTATTGGTACCCGAACTTCAGATTAGATTCAAAAGCATTGCTAACAAAATAACAGCCTGCACCTCCTGAATGTACTCCACCACAACTAGCAAAATGACAACTCAACATAACTTGTGCAGAATGAAATTACATTTGTGTCTTTTTCTTTTAATGCCATACACTGTTTAGTGCATAGGCTACTCTCCAGAAGCCCCTAGAGTCTTGTGAGACTTATCCTGGGCAAGTATACCTAGGGTAGTTTGTCATTGCTTTCCCTGGGTGTGCTAGTGCGCCAATTTTGGCATTTGATTTGAATATCAGATTGCATAGGTCATGATACAATATCCAGTAATCCAAGTAATTCAAAACAAAACTCTTATTGGTGCTAAATCGCTAGAGGATTTAATTAATTTAAAGGCCAAATGCCTTTTGTGGTATCGGTTTTTATGCCGATCAGTGTCTGCATGCATGCCGTCAATTTTTGGCATCTCAAAAATCCCCTGACTTGGGTTTGAACCTGCGAACTTGGGATCAGTACTTGGGCATGGTAACCACTATCACCATCCAAGTCTGTTCTATTTATGTTCAGAAGCAAAACAAGAGGCCATCTCAGTGTTTGCTAAATAGATGAGGGGAAACAGGATGAAAACCAGATCAAGATGGGGGTCATTGTCCCACATGTTGAAGTACATTAATTGTTAATGGCATGTTTAGTCTTTATAAAATTATATAGTACAAATGTTCACTAATTCTTTAACCATTGTTAAAATAAATATAATATTTCTTTTTGGTGGTTAGTGTAGCCTCTAATGGTTTAGAAACACTTATGCAACAGAAAAGATTTTACTTCGTAATGTTTTGCAATTCGTCGAAGTATTTGGTAGACCGAAGCCAAATGTTTTCTGGATTTTTCATCTATCAATCATGTAATAGTTATCTTAGAGTCTTCTAGAGAACTATTTAAAATGTTTTTTGTTCGCAGGTGAACATTTGACTTCTGCGCGATTGGTTGTCAAGCAAGAAGATGCAGATTCATCTAAAGCATGTTTTGAAGAGCGTGAAAAAAGTGGTGATGGCAATGAGAATAACCCTGATTTGCCAAATGATATCTCGCAGATCTCAGAACCTCAACCAAAGAAAGAGAAAAAGTTCAATTGTGAGTGTGGAAAGAGCTTCATGTCTTCAAGCCATTTGGCTCGGCACAAGGTTACTCACTCAGAGATGTCATACGCTGGGAACACTAGCGATTGTCTTCTTCATTGCCAGTTTTGCAAGCAAAGCTTTAGGCAACTAAGTGAACTTGACAGGCATCTGCGCACACATTCAAAAGAGCAACCCTTCTCATGCCCACATTGTCCTGAAAAGTTTAGCAAAAAATCCCAGCTCGCTACCCATAACATGAAACACAAGGGACAACACCTCACATGCGACACATGCCAGGCTCAGTTCTCCTATCGAAGTGTGCTCATTACCCATGTCAAAAAGCATATGTCCGTGGGACCTGTGAAGGAGTGTAAATGTAAGATCTGCAATAGAATCTTTAATCGCAATGAGCACCTCACAATACACATGCGGACGCATACCGGGGAAAAACCCTATGCGTGTGACTATTGTGGGAAACGATTCACTCAGAATTCTGCTTTGACTGTGCACAAAAGGCAGCACACTGGAGAAGAGCCCTACAGTTGTGACAAATGTGATCGGAAATTTAGATACAAATCTGATTTAACGATTCACACAAGGATGCACTTGAAACAAAAACCCCATTTGTGCGACATATGTGGAAAGTCGTTTTATCAGAGTGGCAACTTAACAGTTCATAAGCGTCAGCATACTGGGGAGAGACCATACAAATGTAAGTTATGCCCCAAATCATTTTCAACAGGTACTTCATTTAATTTGCACAAAAGTATACATACCAAAGAAAATCAGAGAAAATGTGAAATTTGCAGCAGTATTGTAAGTTCGTCTCATATGAAAACTCACATGCGGATTCACACGGGAGAAAAACCATATCAGTGCAGATTTTGTAGCATGTCATTTAGGCAGAGTTCACACTTGAAAAGCCATGAATCAATGCATTCCCAGGAGAGGAGCTTCAGCTGTAAGAAGTGTGGGAAGAAACTGAGGTCTACAGAAACTCTGAAGCTTCATATGCGCGTCCACACAGGAGAGAAACCATATAAATGTGATTATTGTGACAAGACCTTTGCACAGTCCACACAGCGTTTGGCCCATATGAGGACACATCACGCTGAGGAATCACTTTTCCATTGCGCACACTGTGAAAAAGCATTCAATACCAAAAATCATCTGATCAAACACATAAAGACACACGATATCTAAAAATTCATGTGGCTCAAGTCGAGGTTAGTGTTGTTTAGCAACATGTGCAGATAGGATAATGACAATTTGAGATGTATGTATGCAAGCAAGCAATATTTTTTTATTAGACAATTGGAATCAAAATAAAAGTATTTTATGAACAGAATTAATTGTATGTTATTTTTTGTAGAAATGAAACTCTTAATCCATTTATCATGTGAAAATGTTTGTAATAAAATGAGTTAAAAGTATTTATCACTTACAGTATCACTTTTTTCCCCATTGCAATTAAAGAAGAATTTCAATGTATTAAATACAGGTAACTGTTCTTATAGTTTCTGGAAGAATGGATTTGGAGGAACACTTTACCCTATTGAGATCGCAGCTTTGCCTTTGCGACTGTATCCATCAAGAATCTTTAGATGAAATGTCCTTACCTAGTCGGAAATAAACATCTTTCCTCATTGCTCTCAACACTCGTCAGTAACTACAAAGTAATAAACTTAAAAGATTTTAATTTACTATTGAAATGTTCAAGTAAATTTGCCTCTCACCATACATTTATTTCTGTGTTTGGAAAAGATTAATTTTCTCTTAAAAGTGTTCTGACTCTAGCTATACTTATAGTTGAAAATCATATTGGCCTTGTTTCAATATTGTAAATGTATTTATATTTCCTCAGAGCCTACATTGACAATCACAAATGTAATGCTTTCTAATCTAATGTTAATACTGTAAAATAATTATATTGCAATTCATGACAATTGACAAGACAAAAAAAGAGGTGATAGGAATTTTGAGTGGGGTGAGGAAAAATGCATATGTAATGAGAATAGTCGTAAGAGAGATGTGACAGTTTAACGAGAAAATAGTCGACAAGAAAGAGCAGTAAATAAATTAAGAATTCAAATTTTTAATTCAGAAGTGAACGTTTTCATGGGAGTGATTTTTCCTGAACTTCTCCAACGATGTGATGTTACAAGTGTCACATATTGCCTGAGTAACAATTGTTTCTGTTACTCTGGGTTTTGTATTCTTGCATTCTAAACTATTTCTGTGGCAAGAAATTGTTCGTTAACATGTTCATTGCCAAGTGCATTCTTGCTATACTATGCTACACACCTTGGTACGGTACAAGTTTTTCAGGTACTATGTCTCTGTTCCAACGATAATTAATGCACTTGTGTAATGCTACAACATTGAAACTTATAGCCAATACATGATATATTTGGTTTTATGCTTAAAAATTATTGAATGTCCTTAGGAGACTATAAAGTCTCGTATGGCAGCCAATGAGCTAAAGGGCATTTTATAACACCTCTCCTTCCTGTCTGACCTCTCTGTATGAAGTTATAGTAGAGTAAAATCTGCCTAACCCGGAACTGATCAGGGCAAAAAAAATTCCAGTAAAGGGAGGTTTCTGTTTCATGCAAGTTTGTCCATATGAGACTTGTAATATTGACGATTCTGCCTGAAAGTAGTAAATTACATGACTTTATTATAATTATCAAAATACATTAACATGTAACATACTTGTGGAAGACATCTGCAATAAATAAATATTAAACACTCATTGACAGCTTCTAAGTTAAAACAAACATTAACACACCTTACCGGGTGTATTCAAACTGTTTGCTGACTCTTTCAATGCACGATGCATCAGCCGGTACTATGGTTGTATTATATCCTTGACCTTGTATCTGGTATCTGTAGTATCTTGTCCAGGGGTTAAGATATCAATGCAGTGCAGGGAGACGTGTGAGTAGAAGTCATGCCCGAACACCTTACCACGTTCGCAGAGGAGAGGGAATGCCCCTACGACCTACATCTTGAGACAAACGACTCCAAGGTCGAATTCTATGCTGACAACTGAAGCACCTTCTCCTTCAATATCTGGCTACCACGACTAAAATGCATGTCACAAGGATAGAGAATTTAAGACAAGATTGCAGATGCATGAATTTACTTAACGTCCCGCGTCTCTCTGCCAATTGTATTAAATTCACAGGAATTTCGTTTTATAGAGATGTTGTTTTGCTGCAGGTCATGAAAGAACATTCTGTTTTCGAAATAGAGAAGTTCCATTTTATGCTGTTTAAAATTAAATTTAACTTTACTGGTTAGAGATATTTACTAGTTGAGGCAGGTTTCCGTCTTGTATAGGTTCTGGTTTTGACAGATTTTCCTGTACCAACATTTTATCACGACAATTGCAAAACTGCTTTTAAAATTTGTTTCCAATGGTTAATTTTGTTCTTTTATAAATTTATAATGTGGTTATTGAAAAAATAGCATATGCAACTTGTTAATAATATTGCTTTATTGCATTCGTATAAATTGAAAAACTTGCAACTAATGTCGCTCATTTACAAAATATATATATTTACGCAGAGAAAAATGAGTCTTGGTTCCAGTATCTTTTCTTTTCTTTTTTTATAATTGAAGGTCGCATCAACTACTAGGCCATTGGCGACCACTATTCCATGTAACGGTATGGTAACTATGACACGATATTGATGATGAGGGGGGGGGGTGAAAGGACAACCAATACAACTATGCCCGAGGCGGGTCTCGGACCCGCGATCCTTCGGTCTACGGCACCACTGCCTTAGCGATTTCGGCCATCCGGACCGGCATCTTTTCATTGTTGTGAGTGGGTATTTGAATGGAAGATGTAACAAATGCGGATCAACTAGGATGATAACTTAAAGGAAAGCGTAATTATAATGTGATTTAAATTCCTAATTTTTTCCAGATTTCATACAAGTGAATAGTGCAGTTGAAACTTTAAGAGAGATCATGGTTCCGTGGGTTGGTTATTACTGCCAAAATTTACTTGGATTTATGAGCCTCATTGAACAACATTTATGCAGTCCTACTGACTGATACTGTGGCTATTTATTTAAAATATTTCAATCTTCTATTCCTCACACTGCTTCCACTGCGATGGATTATTTTCTTTATGTCAACTGAGTTGAATATCCACAAGGGAAACATACAGTGTCTAGTTCGTACCTCTTCCAAACAATATGAGCTTTTTTGATTGGGTATTCTTTAAGATGTTTTTTTTAAAATTTGTCCTCTGTCAACTGTTTTATGATATTAGGTAGCTTGTTGTACAGATTTATCCCTGCATTGTATGGATTTCTAACAGTTCTTTTAGTTTTGTAGTATTACATGTTGTAATCATGCATAGCTTTGTTCTCTACTACACCATTATATTTTATGTGCTGTATTGTATTTTTGTACACATAGCGTCCATAAATTGTGAGCTTTTCATTTTTGAATGTTATTTCACAACTATCAGTTCTCATTTTAAATATCGCTCTTAAAGCTTGTGTCTAGAGTACATAATCTGGACATCTGTATTGTATGTACCTCCACATATGTGTATCCCATTGGTGAGATGTGGATAAATCATTCCATAATACAGTTTTGTTGGTCGTGTATGTGTGGAAATCTATTGAGTGATCAATATAAACTAGTACCTGAGCAGAGTCTTCTTCAAACTTCTTCTATCTGTTTGACCCATGCCAAGTATCTATTTGAATTCCTAAGAACTGTATTTGTTCAACTCTTTGTACGAACTCGTAATACTGTATTCTCCATTTTTAAACTTTGGAATGATTTATCTCGAGTGTTGTTTGTTAGTGTAATGAAATTGGTTTTCCTTAGACTTGTGTTTAGTTCTAAATCACGACATTGTGCTGTAGGCTTCTGCCAATGATTTTGTTCATTTTACTCATTGATTTGTGCCAACATAGTATCATGGCGTCATCTGTATACTTGATTAATATGGTGTATTCCTTTGGCCTTAAACTGTTAACATAATGTAAAGTATTGATCCACCACATGGACCAAGTATTGATCCCTGTGGTATCCCTCCTTGAATTCTGATGGTCTTCGTTGACTTTCTTTGTTATTTCATCTATAGTGTCTGATTCCTCTGTTTGCGCCCAACTTCAAATGAAGTCAAAAGTTCTAGAGCCATCCACCTGACCCCATATCTTTTTAGTTTGTCTAGCAATGTAATGTGATCAACAAATACCGTGGAGATATCAATAAATAGAGCTGGTGGTGGAAGATAACGGTCACCTCCTGAGAACAAAACTTGCACTACAATTTTGAAACTAATAATCTTAGTCATTGTCGCCGTCCGAATCAATAACAATCAATAAGTCGACTTATTAATGGCATTTGTTAAGAAAAATTACTTTTTTTGACATAAACCATATTCGACATTTTTACTTATATGTAAAACTTTTAACACTTTGCAATGATGTTTGAACTCCATGTGATCATCCAACTAATCATATCCATCTGAGTGTGTCACTCAGTACATCTACTCTTCACATGTGTAAACTGTCTGAGAAATAGGTTGTTTTTTTTTTTTGGGGGGGGGGGGCATGTGAGCTTGTGACGTATAGAACATCTTACTGTGGTGTTCACATTTTTGGCTCTACCACACAACACACATCGTCCTTTCTTCTTACTGAGATCATTTATTCCAGTGTATTTCTCTGATGTTTACCACGTCAATTTGAAATAATTGCTTTTACATTCAGCGTTTTAACATTTACTCGCTCAACTAAATGTGGTTTTATGAGTTGTAACGATACATTTTTCAAGGATGCTTTCTGAGGAATTTTCTGTTTTATTGAAAGAAAATAAGATAATAACATATAGCTATTTATGCCTGCTATGTTCAGAAGGGACATAAAAATATTAAAAGGCCATCTTCGAGTCCTTCTACTGACAGTATAGGCTTTGCACATTTTGTCAACCCCTCCTTTCAGCATATTATAGTCAATAATAACTTCAGGCTTTCCTGTTATTTCATTTATGTGATTCTGGGAATGAATAGTTGATAACAGTACTACTGCTTGTTCTTCTTGGATACATATGATACCGTCTTTCTGGAAACCAAATAAAGAAGTATTTAGAGCTCTTGTATGAGAAGGGAGAATCCGTGTAATATGAAAAATGTATCCGTGTTATACATAATAAAATGTAAAAAATCCAAATCCATTCTTCCTCGTCTAGAGTAAGATCTCTATACAATTTGAATCCTCACCAGTATGCTCTTCAAGAACATTCCAAATCCATTCTTCATCGTGTAGAGTAAGATCCCTATACAATTTGATTCATCGCCTGTAAGCTCTTCAAGAACATCGCCCGCATCCGAAGCGATGGGACACGCCGCCCCCAACAATACGGTGAAGTCTTTCGGTTTTAAACCATGCAAAGGTT